CGTGCTGGTCGACCGTAGTTTGTGTCAGAGGCTGGGTAAGGGAAGTCTCGATCCACGGACACAGACCACGGACCGTGGTCTGATCTACGGACCGTGGGTCTGTCCGTGAGTCGGGACTTAGCCAATTTTCTGAGCTTGGCTGGGGAGGGGTTGCAGTGGTGAACCACGGACCACCAGCACGGGCCGTAGTTTGACCTACGGTCCGTGGATGGTGACCGTAATTTGCACCTGTAACTTCTCGAAATCTGTATTTTGGTCTGTTTCGAATACGGGGTGTTACAAGTTTGAATTCCTACCACAGGCACTCTAAGAATGATTCTTATCCCTTTCACGAATGACTTCACGGCTTGTGTGAAGATTCACAGATCATCTAAGTGTCTGTGATCCTTGATGGCCGATAGGGGGGTTTCTCTGATCCCTTTGACAGAAGACTTCATGGTCCCTATGAAGCCTCACGGACTGTTTAAGTGTCCACAATTTTGTCTTGGTTGCTGTGTGCAGCTTCACGGGTAGGGTGATGGATTGTGGACCTCTTCACGGCCCGTGAACCCCTTCGTAGACTGCCTCTTTTCCTTTTCCATTCTAAGTTCAAATTTCTGAGGTGTTACAAAGACTTAACTATAAACCACACAAAAGCCTAAAACTAAAAATACAATAAAAGAAATGAAGTGCCAATTTCCTTTTCCTCGAACCATAAGGACTCATCAATCCAAACAAAAGTTGTGGAGCAATCTCAATAGAAACCACATCCGGGAGGAGAAGCGTCAACCCTTGTATTATGAGACAATATAAGCACAAATATGTATTAGTACTATAAATGTACTAAGTATGGAGAAATGCATAAAACATTCGCATAATAAGATGATGAACTTCAAACATGATATGCATGACCAAGTAAAATGTAGTAAAAATCTTTAAAGAAGTAAGAGTACGATTTAGAGAACATCCAGTTGTAGAGAAAGCATCATCTTTCTTAAAGACAAAATATTATGTATAACAATAAAATGGACCTGAATGGATCATGAAAACAAGAAATTTAAATACTGAACTCAACAATTTAGGAGTGAGGAATAGTTGACCAAGTGATTGACAAAATGTCCTAATTCAAAAATGACTTATTTTTGAAAAAGATAGCATTCCATCATAGATTAGTAAAAAATTAGTCCTTTATATTGCCATATGTTAACATTTGAAGCAATTCAGAGAGTAAAGAAAAAAAAGCTAAATGAATTCATTCGCAAACAATAATGCACAACAAATACACCAGCACCTCTACAAAAGGACCAATCAACTCATCCATGATCATTGCAACGTGTTTTTTCCATATCTTCATCTTTGATAACATTGCAACACTCATCACTCAACAAATAGTCAAGAAATATCAAACAAAACAACTCTGGAATTAGGTAACTGCTAAATATAGAGATCAGACTGATTGATAACTTAAACAAGTTCAAGTGCAGCAAATTTTCTTAACAAGTCAAATCTGACCAGCCAAAGAAAATTAAAAGTTGAGGTCCACCAACAACAAACATTTAGTAACCTCTAGATCAACATACTGATAGTGATAGAGAAATAGTATGTAAAATCAACCAAAGTTAGATATCTATGCAACATTGAGAACATATATAATACATAAAAATCAACTCACAGCTCCCCAATGTAATTGGATGCATCATGGTTTCCTCCAATGAATAAAGTTGGAAAGGCTGGCAGCTGCAACTTCTTCTCCTGAGTAATACTTCCACGAAGAGTTCATGCTTCCGTATGAGGTGACACATTTGAACCTATTCAGATCCTTCTCATTCATAACAACCTGCTTACACAATGAAAACGGTTCAACTGATATCAATCCAGCAGAGAATAAGAGGATTAGATGCATAATTGTAGCTACTGATGAGACCAAAGGACAGTGCAGCGCACTAAACTCCCAGTATTGTAGGCAGTCTTACTGATGGTACCAGGAATACTAAAAAGATTATAATTGCTAAACCTTTAAAGCCAAATTAATAGTTGAGTATGATTATAACTGAGCAGTATATATGATCAAAATGATACAAATCACAAATTTCATAGTAAACTCATTGAGAAATATCAATTAGGGAGAATCAAATGGAAAATTGTAAGACGCAGTCGAATCCTCCATACTAGAGAAAAGAAAAAGTAAAGGCCATTATGGAAAAACGATAAATTTACATATAAATACAGATGAATTGCATTGAGAGAATTGTGATGAAAGAAAAATTGCTCCTTACGACGGCGCTAGTCGAATTCTCACTTTTTCTAGTAGTTCCGCTTTGTCACCGGGCAGGATAATTTGCGGTGCGCGACGGCATGAAGTCGTCGACGAGTGGCCCGGCAGCAGACGGCGGGCACGTCTGGACCTGAGACTTATCACATCATTCATGTGGGATTAGGATATTTAGTAGGTGTTTACATCCCTACTCTATTCAAATAGGGCGAAACGTCGTGGTAACTCAAAAAATAATCAATTAGGCTGATTTTAAAAGAATTTTAAGAATAAACAAATTTTAAATGAGTCGCCACCTAATTTTAGGAAAACTAGGAAACCAATTAAATGATCTACAAAACCAAGAGATTCTAGGTAAGGGGTTCAAGTTATTTCGAAGAGAAGGTGTTAGGCATCCTTCGAAATCCACAATTATGGGTCCCGACTGAGTTCATTTTTTCAAATTGAGAAAGAGATAAAAATAATATACAAATAAAACAAACATACAAGATACACAAGTAATCAAATAAAATAATATAAGAAACAACCTAGATTTGTCTATCGTCAATAATATACGATAATGAATCAAAATATTGTTCGAACTTTGTTCGAATAGCTTCAATGGAAAGCAAACTACGGGTACCTGTAAAAGACACTTAGTAAAAGTGTTAAGTAATAAATAAATATGAATAAAAATAAATGAATTAAACAATAATTTAAAAAATAAAAATCCGTCTTAGTAACATGGGAGGCCTTGAAAATCAACGATAATTTTTTATCGGCCAATTTTAACGTACAAAAATATGAAGTTAAACTAAATTTCCGTCTTTTAACATTGGGATGGCCTCCAAAACCGACGGAGAGATTTTTTCATCGGCCAATTTTGACATATAATATATATTTAAACTTAAACTAAATTTCCATCATTTAAAATGTGAAAGCCTCAAAAACCGACGGAGAATTTTTTCATTGGCCAAATTTAACTTATATTCCAACACAAAATT